GGTTTTTGAAGCCTGGGTCTCTGGAAATCCCCTGAAAAACCTCTGAAAAACCTTCCACGACTCACCTTTGCCACACTGCTGGAAATACCGTATGCGAAAACCTATAAAAAAGTGCTTTTGGATTCAAGAAAACTATGTCGGGAAAAAATGCCGCCTGCTCTATGAGGAAATGCCCACTGTGCTAAAGGTTCTATTTGTAGAGGCAATACCAATTACGAGTAAATGTCTATGACACAGAAGAAAATATCAAACACTTTATATCTAGATTAGTCTATTTCTATTATTGAATACTGAATATAGCACTCAATGTTTGAGTCTAGCTGCACTAGAATTATAATAGTATTTCAACATATTTGTTGAGACAAGGTTAGACGCACCAACGACTGGCAAGCGGGAAAGAGTAGCCATTTCGTTTTCATGTCATCTGTTTCTCTCATTCTCTAACCGAGAGATGATTATTTAATTATAACTATATACCTTCTCATTATATCATAGAACAACTGTTTTTTAACGCGGCAGTCTTCTCTTGACAATCATTAGAAGACTGGTGCAATATTGCAAGATCAGATTTTACTATGAATTTACCCCCATCATGGTTTATCGAAATAGCTCATCAGTCGTTGGATAGTACCACTCTAAAAGTAGAATGTACTCGATTTCTTTACAATGAGTTATTATTTACATTGAATAGTCTTTTAATTGAGATGCGCATGTATGCTAGAACATGTAAACGTAAACAAACTATTGTCGGTGATTTTAACTTGGCATTAAATGCCAGAAACATTGAACCACGAATTCATCATCGACTACATCCATCATCCGATGAGGAGCTGAATTTATCAACAATGTGCCTAATGGAAGAGCCTTATTCGCAAACAAAAATAAAACTAATACAGATCTCGATACACTGGCTAGCCATTAATGGTCGACAACCAATAATCCCAGAAAATCCCAGTCTACAAAACTCGATAGACAAGCCTGTAAACAAGGTGAACATGAAATCGAATCCCCTTAAATTCGATTTGACGACTGAACATTTATCTCCGAAAGCTTCTGTAATACAAAAACTGTATGAAATTGGACGATTAACTGAACACAGGTATACAGTTTCCTTGGCTGCTATTCATACTCAACTTCTGTCACTGATAGAGATCTTTTACACTGTCGCATTATTCTTTTCTCCAGTTTTAGTCCATCAAATAAAACATGGTCAGCCAATGCTGATCAATATTTCATTCCGACAAACGAATGTTCAAACGTTTTACAAAATGATAGTAAATCTAACAGTATTATTGCTCATGAATTGAGTATTGAACAACAATTATATTATAAAACGTTAACTGAAGCATGTTTTAGTACCAATAAAAGAGTATGTCTCGAAGCATTATCAAGTTTGACAACGGATGCTGCCATTACACCTCTTGTACCACGTTTAATTCTATTCATTAGTGAAGGACTTCGTGTCAATATTATTTTGAAAGATCTGCGATTTATTTTTCGTCTGTTAATGATGTTAAAAAAACTATTTGAAAATGTCTATGTTCAATATCTCGATCAATTACATCTTGTTTTACCAAGTTTGTTGACATGTTTGTTGTGTAATTTTGAAAAAAATGAATATATTCTAGAAAATGTAGATTCACAACATGTGCCTAATTCTATATCGTATACGATATGGACATTACGAGAGTATGCAAGTGATATTATTCAAAGTACAGTTAAAAAATTAAAATATTTATCGTTTCTAGAAACTCGAATTTTAAATGTGATTATAAATTCAATGAAATATCGTGAACAAACATATTCGACTGTTTATGCCTGTATTCGAACACTGTTATTTATTGATTCATCAACTCATTTAACATGGATAGAAGACTATTTAAAACAACGAGAAGAAGTACGTCAACAACAATTGCATCATAAAGTTGACTTTGATCTGAATTCAATACAACAAGAACATCTATTTCAGGAAAAATTAACAGTGTTGCTAAAAAAGTTTCAAATTAATGACTCAAGAACAATTTAGTCAAATCATATATTTTGGATGCTATTTTTATCTCAATTATTCCCATACATCATATGATATGCACATCATCTTCAATGGTACAGAAAAAACAAATGTACCAGACTTTAACTATCAATATGCTGCTGCAGAGAACATATTACGCATTTGAATACCTTAAGATTTTTGTGTTAATAACACGGTGTTACTGTATAGAATTTAAATTTATCTTTCTTGTTTCCAGAAATTTGGAAATTAGGTTTATAGTGTGTGCAAAAGACTGTTGTACGGTCTGTGTTTTGGTTTGCCTTGCCCAGAAACTGCCAAAAATATGCTGTAAATTGACCTGGATTATAGTCCTGCAGGATAATGCTAACTTGGCTTATTAGGATTTTCAAGGTTGTTTCATTCGTTTATTTCGAGTAATGTCTCATTTGCATCAGTATAAAAGAGTGAAGGAAATTTAATATTTGAGTGCCTTTATATCTTTAGTTTCATGAAGATAAAATCGAGCTTTCAAGTTTTTAAAAGTTCAAAATTTAAAATTAGACCGCAATTCAAGATCACAGCGATAAAATCGAACCAACGCCATCTGCAAAACTGAAAATTATGCATGAGACGACGAGAATATTCGAAAAAATGTTTCGAAAAAGTACAAGGAATTGTCGGTTGGCGCTTTCGTTTCGTATGAACGATGTGCTCTGTTTGCTTTCAAAAGAGCATTTGAATCATTATCATCGAAGCCGTCTTTGCTCCGCTCTTATCATCGAGATAAAGTACTGAAAGTTGTCGTAGACTCGCAATTCACTTTTTGGCCTTTGGCAGTTATATTTACAATAATGTTATATTGTTGTGAATCAAAGCGAGATAAATATTCGTCATGAGCTTTCACGAGAAAAAAGCATCCGTGGTTCGTGTTCCGTCTCGCAGCTATAGCTAGCTATAGCTTGAACCAGGTTAAGCTTTGAGACAAATCGATCTTTTAAAAACGTACCACAGTTCAACTTTGAGGCGCCTACTTCTCTATCAACGGTTAGTGTGGTTCCTTCTGGCTTTATGTTTGATGTATTATATAAATGTGCCCTTTCTGCGGACGAAACCTTGTACGAACTACGGTTCGGGAAATATACGGAAACAGTGTTTTTTCCAGGATATTGATCAGTGTATTTATCATCCTATTCATAGACGCACAAACGATAATTAAACAATCGATATATGATGATTGGTATACTATGTGATTCATCATTAAGTAAAAACTGTTCTCTGTACTGTGTATTCATATGTGTAGAGCATTCTATGTGCAGATGTAATGGATTTTTTTCTCTATATCTAATGTAAATCATAAACTATTATTCGAGTATGATAAAGGCGTATTTAAGAGATGTTTTGATTAATGCATCTCTACTTATATTTATTTACTCGAGTTTTCAACCGTGCATAAAATATTTAGTAGTTTTTTGATTCCATCTAAATATCGTTGTCAGAAATTGCTTCATGATAACCGTCAAAGAAGTTGGTGTAGAAACTTTATCCACACCTTTTCTTCTGATCAAACAAATACTCCGAGTGAAACAACTGTACATCTAACTACCACAACCGAAACTGTACAAGATATATCTGGAGAAATTCAAAACCTAGAGGATTCCTTCACTAGAAAACTGCCAATTTCTGTAAGACAGGAACGGATTTACCAAGATCTTGTTTGACTTATTGTCACTGTATTTTCTCTTCCATCCAGTTATTTACTAATCGTTGGACGTGTTTTTATTTTTTTGTATCTGTTGATATTCAAAGACGTCTTCAAGATCCGTTGTAGTAATCCTAGGATTCGCAGGGGATTCGTAGTCGCTGATACCAGAAAAGTCAAGAAGATAGTAACAAAAAATATACCACTGAGACATTTTTTAAATTGAATGGACTCAATAGTCAATACTCGGTCAAAACTCACCGAAAGGAAAGGTGTTCAGTATTTGCACCGTTGCGCACTGATTACAAAGCTGGCCTAATCCCGTGAATAACGGTAAAAGCTTCTTCCATCAGTCGCTCCATATTGATATCAATAAATGAATTGTCAACGATGAACAAAATGCAATGGAAACATCTTATCCATCATTAATACAATGAAATTAAGGTAAACTAAAAATTAAGCTTAGAAAAGTAGAGCCTGCTTGAGTAAATAGCGAACAGTTTAATTAATAGTAACATTGTTTCTTTACTGTTTCGTAAGAAATTTATCTGTGAAATAAAAAAATATAAGAATTGCACAGTAAGTGATCCTAGTGGATATATTTGAGCCAAGTACTACGCAAGTACTTGGGTTAAGTAATGAGGACAGTACTTATGGACTTTTCCAAGTAAATCTGTTTGTCAAGTGCTTGTTCAAGCAATTCAATGCAATTGTTCAATGCATTATTCAAGAGCTCAGCTGAGTACTTGGTCCATGTATCCTTATTTCGTAGTTGTACGTATTCTGCACCATATTCCACATTTGTAAAGCTGACGCATGCATAGCTACCAAGTTTGTTCAACTCCGTAGGAATATCTAAATTTAATTCCTAAGTTATGATACTTGACGAGTAATTAGAAAAGAACTTGGAAAGTACCTCGACGATACGAACCAGGCCGACTCCAGTGGTAATATACTTTGTATGAAGCGATTAAACTCATTAATTTACCATAACAACTTAGTAAACATAGTAAGAAAATAACGACGATAATTTACACGAGAATATATTTTATTTACGTCTTTAAATTATACTATTTTCTTTTAAAGGGGTTTTCGTTTAAAGGGGGTACTATTTTCTTTAAACCCTCACAAAAAAATAAAAACATGTCCAACAACCAAAAACCAGTTTTCTAGAAACCTCGAAAAATCCCAAAACTTTCTCGTAACAAATCATAATTATAGCCCACGAAATTCTGATCAAAATAAGACATCGCCAACCTATGGATGGTCTTTCTTTGCTACGTTATGAAATTTACAAGAAAAGCCCAAAATGTTCATTGTCAGCGCAAAGCTCCCGAGAGAAAAAGAAAAAATGAGTTTTGGGCTTTTCTTGTAAATTCCATAACTTTGCAAAGAAAGATCATGTAGAGGTGACAGATGTCTTATTTTGATCAGAATTACGTGGGCTATAATCGTGACTTGTTAAGAGAAAGTTTTGGGATTTTTTGAGGTTTCTAGAAAACTGCTTGAGACAATCCGTCTCATACAGATATTCGGAGTCAGCGTGGTCGATAACCTACATTATACTAAGTTTGGTGAAAAAAGCGATTGGACAGTTAAATAGGTTCCCTCGTTAGATATATTGTTTAGTTATCTGTCACTTTTCTTTTCATCTTATGTTACGATTTTTCGTACATTTTGTTTATTAAAAAAATTATCAGGCTTCTACAAACCAGGTCACGCTAAGCCGAGAGTAATGGCAGGCAGGCAAGGTCCAGGAAATATACTGACAGGCCCAGGCAGATCTAAATATTACAGGCCCGACACAGGCAGACCAGACCTCAAAAGTGTCGGGTCCTGCCCTGTACCAATGTACTTACGTTACTATTTTAGAACTTCACTTCAACTATTTGTAGGCAACGACGCAGTGAGACAACTAAAGGCGACATGTGCAATTTCTTTTCGTACAAACGTTGCACCCGTCCAAAAATCAACCAGTTCAAATGCTGTTCAAACATTACTCTAAAGGAATTATGAGTGACGATGAAAAATCGCGGTTATCGATCGTCAACCCGTACACAGTTGAATTGTCGCACGCTGATATTAGAAATGGCTACATGTTAGTGCGCTTTTATTGTATAATTTCAGGTGTTAGATATATATCCATTTCAATCTTGATCAATGTCGTCACCTTGTAAAAATACTGCTTTCAGAACAGCAGTAACTAGTTGAAAACTGTTGTTAATTTCGAGGGTGAAACTAAAAACTAACTACAATGTGCAGTACTTAGTTTTTTCTCGTTTAGAGTGCATATATGTTTATTCAATATACGTGGGATGCCAGCATTAAAAAGGCAACCGTTGGTCTAGCTGCTGTTCTGTCCTGTGCAGGAATACAAAGCAGTGGTACTGAATATGGAACTACGATATCAGATCTAATGATTGGCTCTAACTTTTAATCGTCATTGAATGACGATTAAAAGGTCTCTAGATGAAGGGTCTCTATAATAACGAAAACCAATAATAATCATTTTATTCCGCCGTTAACTCATTACTAACAAAATTGACATGATCCTCTGTGTATATAAAAAAACTTCTTGTCTATCTCGATACCATTTAGTATTGTGATTGGTTTGTTCATCATAAGTTGATAATTACTACTGAATGAAAATAAACATCTAGTAACGACGAAACAGGGATTATGACACTGTTTCATTGAAAACCAACGGGTCATGAAATAATTTTTGCTGAACCATTATCTTATATATGTTACTTTTATTAGCTATGGGAAGTAACTTCATTTGCATGTTTTAAAAAATAGATGCTTTTCAACTATTCTAGACAAAGAAAAAGATATGTACAAAACATTTATTAACCACCAGAGTCCTCATCTACATCCGAACTAAACGTTTCAGTTTCGGTGTAGCTATTATCATCATCATTTGTTTTGTGATGCGTCTCACATATCATTGAATTTGTTGTTGTCAGTTTTCGACATTTTTTATTACTATTCAATCGACGTAAATCTCCACTGCTGAATGTAAACTGCTTATTTAATCGATTGCAATCTTGAGTTTTTATTGTTTTATGATATTGTAATTCTTGAATTTTACCATAAATTGTTAAAAACATTTTTTTTAAATCACGATCTTGTTGACGAATTTCACACTAAAATCAAAAGCTCATTTTCAACAAAAATTACCAACACGTAATTTTGTGGATCAAACAAACATAGGGAAGAGCGCGAGAAAGTGCTTAATAAAGTCTATCATCGTGAACGAAAAAGATCAGCATTGTGATATTCAGGTATGACTTAAGTTGTGACTTAGATCAAATCTCAACTTACCTAAGGTTATTCAGGGGTTGGAGTTGAAGGCGGATGGGAGGAGTACAACCAAAAGACTGGTGTGAAACTGCGAAACATTTTTAGAACGCAATTTTGTAGTGTTATACAGCACTGCAAAAAATTTATCCGACCATCCCTGCACCTCTTTTGATTTTTTGCTTCAACCAAAAAGGTAAAAACTGATTTCAAAGCTGAAAAAATGTCCTAGAGATCTAGGAGAAGTCTTTTCTTTTTTTTAAAATGTTTTCTGTGAATGACAAAACTGTCAGAAGAAATTTCCTATTCGAACTCTGGATTTTGCTTTTCTAGAATTTCATTCCAGCAGTGTCGATAGAGCTTTTATTTCTACTTTTAATAAGAAAGTCTTTCAACTACTCAGATCACCATAGAAGTTTGTTTTTAGCCCTCTGGTTAAGTAAAAAAAAGTAAAACCGAGGAAGTAGTATAAATTTTTTTCAGTACTGTATATTCAACTCTCAATGACAATTGGAGATCGATTCTAAGGAACTAATAATAAAAAAAACATAGTAAAAAATTACCAATTCTTCTTGAATAACTCCCATCATATCATCAACTAATTCTAATGATTGTTGTTGATTGTAAAGGACATTTGCACTTTTAGATAAATAACGTTTTGAATAGTTCAGAATCGAGCTATGTTCTTCGTCAACTGATGGGATAGTTTTATCGTCTGATTGTTCAGTCTTGGTGGTTGAACATGTTTCTAATGTTGATGAGACTTTTTGATTATTGTCTTCATTTTTTCTGATTTCAGTGTCTGTTGGTATAGTATCAATACGAAATGAAAAGCTTTCTTGTATAATTTTACTATCACTATTTCGTCGAATATTTGAATTGTACAGTTCGTTCAGCATAGCACGTTTACTGTTACTATTGTCGTTAGACTGAACTGTTTCTGACTTTGATAGTAACGATGTTGATGATATTGATCGTGATTTTTTCAGATAACTAAAGTCATCTACATCTATATCCATTTTATCAAGTTGAGATGATGTTTTTGTATTCGGTTGTTGTTGTTGTTTTACAAACAATTCGAATGCATTTAATCGCTCTTGAATCGATGGTGCTGGTTGTAAACGTCGTGATGATGTTGACGAAGTGCATGACGAACACGATGATGTTGAAAATTCGGAGGTGAGTGTAGGACTTTGAGATGAATAACGTTTTTTTGTACGAATACAAATGACACCACCATTATGAGAGCTACCGTTCGTCTTTTTTACAGAGTTTAAGAATGTTTTTTGATTACTAGTAATAGTATCTAAATGTAACAGCTCATGCGACGAATCATCAGTATTTTTTGTCACATTAGAATCGATAATTTGAATTTCATTTATATTTCGACTATAAAATGCAGCATAGAACGCACGATCACGACGATTTGATGATATATGCATTAATGTTTACATGGAAACATGACCTGAAACAGAGAAAATAGATAAATAATTAACTAGTATTTATGCTCACGACGAATGACATTTGTATGGAATTACACGTTCTATAATATGGTATGCTACGTCTATTTTAAGTTATTATATAATCAAAAAAAACAAAATTACTGTTACATAGTTAGAAAATGTGTTCTAGAAAGGGTTGTTAAACGTCTCATTTACTTCAATATAGTGACTATGCGTAAATTTATTTGACACTAATTTACAGTACTAAGGAAGCACTTGAAATTTAAATACGAAAAACTAAGAAGCTTCATCGTTTATTCTTTCTACCTCTACTATAGTATTAATTGAATCAAAACTTACAAAAACTTGACGATTATAGAATTATGCTGTTTTATTACTATTAATCTTGTAAACGACATGTACTTAATAAATTTATTAGGTCTTTAAATGAAAAACCGTGAAGGCTTTTTTTCAGATAAAAACTCATTTCTCTTGTTGTTCTTTGTTATTCTTCTTTTAATATTCTCTCTTTCATACATATGCACATTCAGGACGTTCGTCTCTCGTTCAATAGAAAAAAAAAATATTTGTTTGAACAAAATTTTCTCTCTCTACTTGAAATGTGCACGTGTGATGTGGTCGCATTCATCATCAACATTTTTTTTTCATATGATTGACTATTACCAGACAAAATATTTAAATCGTTCAGCCGTTATAGTCTTTACACACTTCAAATTCAACTTCAACGTATATACATTTAGTTCAACTTATTAAATAAAAACTGCTGTTCTGTAAAAATTTATAAACATATGCATCTCATCTCATCTCAATACTCGTATAAAATTAAAATTTATAATCTCAATATGATATCTTGATTATTTGATAATTCATTCCTCTACTTTTGTTTTGAGTGGTATCGCCTTTTTCTTTTTCTTCTTCTTCTTATTTTTTAATAATAAACGTCCGATCGAGCCCTACGATATTAAACAAGAACCACTACTACCACCACCAGCATCATCATCATCATCATCAACATCATCATCATCATCATCATCATCATAGTATTTTCTCATCATATGCATTAATATATATTCTACGGTCTAAATTTATACGGTGTAAAATATCGATATTTCTGTGTACTTTAGATTGAATCACTCGGCCATAAGAACTTGAATATATATACACATGTGTAAGAAGAAAAAATAAGAAAGCGAGTAGACAATAGACATTTTTTGGAATAAGTTGTAAAATAATACATGTTTGAGTGGTATGGCAAGTACATGATAAATTTAAATTACGTATATGAATGGATCTCCGATTGAAATAACAGTATATAGAATAAAGAAGATCGTGACATTAAAAATTGAAGGATGCACATCGATCATACACAATAACACACGATTTGTTGAACAATATAATGTATTTAATAAATAAGAATGGTAAAGAGCTTATTTTTACATAATTAAATAATTTTAGCTATTTTCATTAGCAAAATTTGTGTTAGTCATTGGCTAACTGTGATCGTCTTAGATGAGATACATAAAAAACCGAGAAACTATTTATTATTGAGCACACAAACATAAAAAAAACATGTAATATGAGAAAAAGAATCTACAAATCTTGTAGGAAAAGTAGGAACTTTTTAACAAAAACGTTTTTTTCTACGGTCATTTTACCAAATTTTAGTTGAACTTTTTTTCTGTACTTCACCTAACAACTGAATAGTTCAACAAATGCATACAGTACTAACATACCATCATTTTACTTCTAGTTCTGCATAGAAGAGTATATATAATGAGAGTTTTTTTTCTTTATTAACAGAAAAGGTAACAACCACGTACAAAGAAATGTTACGTATGGTTGTCTTCTGAGCTTATTTTACTCATAGCAGAATGAAAATTTTCAACTCTATAATTATATCGTGGCCTGCCACGTAACATACACATACTAAAAATACGCAGACTTTTTCTTGGAAATATTGTACTTAAAGAAAAAGTGCAAATAAGAGAGAGATAGGTGTTGAACAAAAAAAGAAAAAAACAGAAAACAAAAAAATTAGACTTACTATATTCAGATTGATCGTACAAGAAAATAGAATGAAGAAAACGTGTGCGAGCCATGTAACAAGTATTAGTTAATATAGCTTAACGTCAAATCCTATGCCTGCTTTTCCTCTCATTATTTTTACTAAATAATCCCTAGTTCCATTACAATACAGATCAATGAATAAAGTGCAACTTTTGTACACTAACCACTTTCTAAATAAGATTAAAAAAACTCTGAAAAATTTTCTAAGATAAAAGTAGAAATATTCTTTAAAAAACAGTCTACAGATATTCCACCCTTTTAAACGATTCAACTAACTTCGAGCTTGAATAATGTCGCCATCATTAATTCCGTTCTTGAAAATCGAGTAACACACTTGTGAAAACAACTCGAAGTTTGCCATGATTAATGTAAATGGTACTGGTGAGTAGTAGAAGAAAATGAATCAGAAATCTTTTCCACAAGTTCTCGTATAATAAATATGATGACTCATTGATCTTGCATGAGACTAAGAACCCAAACTAGGAAAAAACAAACTAAAGTACTGTTTTAATTATCTAGAACATTTCTGCCATCACCACCGTGACAGATTATCGAAAGAAACAGATTCTGCTATTGTCTAGGAGTGAGACATATGGAGTAGGTTAAACAGCTCTACTACATGAAACTTTCAACAATCTCTATTAAATGAAAATAGACATTAAGATTATCTAACCAGAATCCCAGCTGGTGAATAAACTAGAAACCAAAGTTGTTAGTAATTACTTACATGCCCTTAACATTAAACTAAGATATTAGCAGTTCATCAATCAACATTTTTGTTTTCGTAAGGACAATAATTTCAGTAAAAAACTAAGAGCAACGGTAGCTACTAGATACGCCATTTTTAATTGAATAAAATATAACCATTTTTGTGCTCAAAATAATTAAATATATATTTTATTCAATTACAAATGGCGTATCTAATAGCTGCTATTGTTTTTAGTTTTTTACTGTCATCAGCCAAATGCTACAACGACCGTTTCGAGAGACCAAAAATTAAGACAGTCTTTGAAGTTGTAATGTTCCACCAATAGGTTCTTAGACCATGTTGCTACTGCAAACTAATTCTAACACCATACTGTATAAGACAAACTTATGTAGAAATAAAGAAAGAAAAGAATACTCCTGAGTCAAGTGTTTGTGACTATCTGACTCACAGAAAACGAATGTCGTTGTAGCGCTTGGCTGATGAACTGCTAACATCTTAGTTTAATGTTCAGTGCATGTAAGTAATCACTAACAACTTTGGTTTCTAGTAAATGAAAATAGTATATAAAGTATCATTCGCACTAAAAAGGAGTTAACTCTCCTCTTTCCTTTCTACCTATATTCCATTCATAACGGATCATAGTTTTTTCAATATCATGTACTATCTTGCAAGACCATCGCGCAAAAATCCAACAATTTCGTAAGATCGTTGGAAGATCGACTAACATTCTTCTATACAATTCATGACACAAGTGCGTGAACAGTTTAAACAAGTCTTTCGATGTTATATATACGACATTGATAGACAGAAAAGCTTGTCAGCGCAGCTCCGCTATGGAGCTAAAATGTGTAACTCTAACAGTTTGTGAGCTATAGCAATAGCGAATTAATCTATTAGTACATTATTAATGCGGTGCGAAGTATACCGCATTCTAGCAATCAACGTGGTGTATTTTTAATACGCTTTTTTGAGTCATTTTCTCACGCTGTTTGTTCAAGATCTAAAAAGTATGTAAGAAAAGTAGAAAAATGAGAATATGGAGCGAACTCTGAATATGCTCCCCCTATACCCCCACACCTACACCACGCCCTCAGCCTAGAATAACCTGAAGATGAATTTGGCGTACTTTTTGGGGTGTTCTTACCCTTTCTTCTTTGTGTTCGTGAGTGCGTGGGTGTTCATTCAAAATGTATGCTTAAAAGGCGAAACTATAAAAAAGTTTTGGGTGTTCGTTAGGGATTGCTATACTCAGCTCGACGAACTCTATCGATTGGCTAACTCAGATTTTAATTTGAGGGCGTTCGTGGGTGTTCGAGTCTTTTAGCAATACCCGTGTATAACCTATAATACGAACCGCTCCGGTAAACATAACCCACGGTTAAGAGGTACGCATGGTATGTACAAAACAAATAGCGGCAGTCCGCAGCAAGTTCATTAACGTACTTAGGCATGGTTACCGACCGTTATAAAGCATACAATATATATCCACATAAGAAAATATTACTTTACTAAAATTAAAAATTTACCATAACCCTCACGTCTTATCCTTGAGCGTTTCACAAGCGCCCCGATCGTCTTAAATCTAAGAGTTTCCCATAGCCTTTTAGCCTTAAAATTAAGAATTTTCCGGAGAGAGGCATATTTTTTGCATTTTTCTAATGATCTTAGCCCTTCTTCTACTGTCTGATGGGAGGAGTTACACAAAAGGTGAAGTTAACAGTATTTGTCTATTCGACTTTTTACTACGTTTTACCAGATTGAATTCCTCTGTTTTTGGACAAGAAGTTGAAAAATACAGAATATCAACACAAATTTAGCGGAAGATTCACTCAATTATTATATAAAGAGAGATAAATCCAAGCTTTTTTGACAGGATAAATCCAGGTCGTTAATCCGCGACCATACTATAGCAATACAGATAGGCTTTTCATTCTGACCAGGAGCACGTTGAAAATTCAAGTGGGAAGAATGTTGTAAGAACCATGCAACATGGTTTTATAAAATAGTTTAGCATGTAGTTGCAAATGACAGTGGAATTTTGAGTTAATGTATGTTATAAAAAGAAAAGGATAGAGTTACAATTCAAGGATAGTAGTTGCCATAATGTGTATTTTGATCAATCGGATGAATATTGCCATAAGCGTAATGCGGGTTGTGATAAAGAATAGTGGTGAGTCAGACTACATCAAAGTAAAACTGCGAAAGAATGAGAGATAAAATTTATTAACGATATTAATGTCATGTCCAAGAACATGAAACTAAAACGGCGTCCACAGTATTCAGTGCGGACTTCGGCTTTCGTAAACAAAGATTAATTTCTTTTCAATTCACAACTTTCAAAATTTTTTCGGCTGCAAGACATATTCTGACATATTTTGTAGTTGACTTTGTTTCCGAGAAGAAGTCAAAGAATGCAGAGTACAAATACTAAACCTATACGGAAGAACGCAGTATTGTGCAGAAAAAATTTAATTAACGTATACTCACACAACGAAAGAGGTGCGATTAACGCAAATTTATGCATTGAAATCTAAAGTCTAAAAAAGTTCCACTACGGGTTATATTTCACAATTGAGAAGATTTTAATTTTTTCTAGTTGATCGAACGAAAATAAAAAAGTGGGATGCCCTACTACAGACACTTAAAAAATAGATTGTTGTGTGTGTGTTGTGTGTGTATGTGTAATGAAGGTCATCCATCGATCTCTCTCTCTCTCTCTCTAGAGCAATGAAGCGTGTTTCAATGTCAAAGATGCATATATATATTTAAAATAATAAAACTAGATTTCTTTTTTGTTTTTTCAATTGTATATTTGCTTAACAAGCTTATTTCACAAATAGACAAAAAAAAGAAAGAAATCCAATAATGAAGAATTGTAATCGAAGAAATAGTAAACGCAATTCTGTTTCTTGACAGATATCATTATTGGCGGTTTTGAATTTACAGAGTAAGGACTACCTGTGGTTATGGAATACAGCTTGATTAGTGATTTTATGTCAGCAAACATGAACGTCAATCCAGTGTTCTATTCTCCATCATGTGGTATTCAATGTTAAATAATGAACCTTCGGTGAAAATAGCCTATCTTGTAAAATTTGATGTGTTTCAAGATTTGTGAATTTTAATAACCTGCCCAGAGAATTATTATCTGTAGTCTGGAAAATTTATAAAGTCGTCTAATTAGCACACATACGTTAAATAATGACACCGATTAATTGTAACGGATGGTCTAGAGGAAATGATGCTCTCATTATTTTTCCTTTATCCCACGTGTCATCGGTCATTCAGAGCTAAATTCATTTTTGCGACAGAAAATTTTCTGCAAGAACCTTCTAAACATTTTTCTGTACAGAGTATACGGAAAATTTCATATGAAAAACTTTGGAAATCGTCAAAATGTCAAACTTCATAAACCCGTTTTTTTTACATAAATTTTCCTTCTCTCAGTTTAATGCGTATTAAAATGCGAAAAGCGGTTTTTTCTATACTTTCGAATATGCTCTTTCGTGTAGGGAATGAAGTACTCCGTTTAAACAAGACCGAACAGAGTTCTTGATAACCGATCAAACAACGGTGGAATTTGACTATTTTCTCTAATCATGTAAGAAACAAAAGGTTCACACAGCTTTTGACTATGGAATTGAATAGAGCAATCATTTCTGATTAGGATAAAACAAACCTGACCTCCTCAAAAGCTTAACTTTTTGACCAAGTTATACGAGTTTTGGCCGAAAACACCAAACTTGCATAACGAAAAAATTCAGCGCAGCAAAATTTCTGAGTAAAAAAGTGGCTGGTAGCAAAGAAATAGTCTCTATTACTCAAAGCATTTTAATGTCAAAAAATTTGAAGTATAGCTAAAAGGTAGAATTGTCTACAGGCTACAAAATGGTTTAGTTTCAAAAACTTAACGAATAAATTTACTTTTTAATTTATGAGGTTTGACATTTTGACGCTTTTCAAAGTTTTTCATATAAAATTTTCCACGTACTCTGTACAGAAATACCTTTAGAAGGTTCTAGCAGAGAAGTTTCTGTCGCAGAAAAGAAATTTAGCTCTGAATGACCGATGAAGTGTGAAATAAAGGAAAAATAATCAGAGTACCATTTCCTCGGGATCACCCATTACATAAATACCAGTTACATCAGATTAGGCGACGTGAATTCGTTTTAACAAATCGATTATTCCACTAAATACTTGTCTCTATAAAAAAAGGTTAAAACAATGAAAATATACTCGTTCTGCTGTACTTCTTTATGATCAGACTAGTAGTTCGAGTAAGAAATATTAAAATTATTTGAAATATTAAAATTTTTACGTACTACATATACTTTTTATTCAAGTTTTGATCAAATATCTATCAAAAGCACAAGTATTCGCTGCATTCATGAAATAAGAATATTATGTATAGTGTTTCGACGAAGGAAATCATATGCGAATGTAGTGCTTCGTCACTATCAATTTCTTCTACTGTTCTTTCAAACGTCAAGTATGTTTTTCATGTTTCGTTTTTAACAGCATTTTTGTGACCTCGAAAATATCCATGTTAAAAGATGATAATCGGATCTAAAAATGATCATAGATGTGATAAATGGAGTTTGTGAGATTTATAATGTTTTGCTTCGTCAAACATTAAAATCATACACGTAGGTCGGTTTCCTCCCCAAACAAAATTGTATGAACAAGTTTATTTTGTAAATTATCGCATGACTGTTTACGCTAATAATAGAAAAAGTAATAAACAATAATTTTTTTCATCGAATATTATTATGTATGTTCCCAGTTAAATATTACTCGGAGAAAGTTATATACACAAGAATCATTCTCCCAGAGATTGCGCTGAATTATCAAAGAAACAGTTAGAGTAATTAAGCTGTTTCTGTTCATCGAACCAAAAAAACCCAAATATTTACAAACAAAATGGAACAGAAAACAAAGATACATAGCGACTAGACAAAATAACTACTAGAAACAAAAAATTGAAGCAACTACGTACATAACAAATTTATTCATAAGTTTTGTTCGTCATTGCGTTCAAGCTGAGATATTAATAAGTTTGGTTTTTATTGAAAAAACCTTGAGAAGAATCCAGCAGGATTTTGTTGATGTTGCGGTGCTTGATTTCCATTCAAATATCGTTGAATGATACCTCCAATTAGTTGTCTCCCATTACCGCTCATTGCATAATTAATTAACGAGTCAATATTTGATGAACCGACAGCATTTCGAACTTCATTCGATACATTTTGTCTTTGTTCTTCGCTCAACTGTTGAAGTCTAGGAAGTAATGAACTATAACTTTGAACATTACGAAAACCAATAATTGCACCTATAGTAAACACAGTGATATTCAAACTCTATATGTTTTCTGGAATATGATACAACAAAACAGTAATTTTCATTATCACCCTTATTCGTTTAACGTTAAGCTACTGGACAAACTCTTACCAATAATTGTGCCAAAAAGAGCACCAAAAGAGCCAAAACACACTGCTCCGATAATACAACCCATAACGGCATACATACACTGCCATAACATACCCATTATGGATTTTTGTGTATTCTGTAAATACAAGATTTATATAAAAAGAAAGAAAAGATAAATAGAATTTACAGCCAAACTTACATTATCTTTTTGTAAAATATCCATTATCGCTTGAAAATAATTTGGATTAAACGAAGGCATTATGGATTCTATCTACAACCAAGAAAAAAAGTGTGACTGTCATCAAAAAGTATAACTGATTGATCCAATTGATATTATCTCCAAGAATTAAAACATGCAAATAGATCAGACATTAAAATATCATCTTAATATGTATAACTCTTATTCGTTAAGAGAATATCAGAGATTGATTCTACGATAAAAACTCAAACAAACTGTCCTCTTATATACAAAACCATTAACAATAATAGAGGGATTAAAAAAAAGGCAATAACAACCAAAAGTAACAAATAAATATCAGAGTACTTAAATTATATTTTTAGACATGCCTAAATTTCTGTGATACTAAAATTGCTTTATATCTAATCGGTAACTAACACTGTTCTATTTTCAATTAAATTTGTTAGACGTTTTTCAATTTGTTCTAGTTTTTGTTCATGTTTTTGAATTACAGCTTTATGCTCTAGAACTAGATTGTTCAATTCAGATTTATGAGAGAGAATTAATTGTTCAATTTTATTCGAGTAAAACTCGTGAAAATTTTTCATATCGTTTGCATTTTTGATCATTAACGATTGAGCCTTTTCTTCGAATTTCTGTTCAATATTTAATTTATCTTCCAGTAACTTTTTAAGTTCATGAATTTCCTCTATATTTCGTTTATTTTCTTCATGTAATTTAGTAATTAATTCATTATTATTGCTTTTTATGGGCGAAAATGAGTTAGTTGCATCGACTATTAAACCAGTATCATATTTAAATATAAATTCTTCTAATTCATGAATTAATAAATGTTCACCATTTGATTTGGTTGCGAGTAATAAAATAGGTTCCTTATGACCATTTAGTTTGGTTAATTGATTCACAGTCACATTGTTCAATTCACAATTAGGTGAGAGAATCGATTCAATATCGGTTAACTTTATCTTTGATAATAACATTCGATGAATAGAAAAAAATTGTTTAATTAACTGATTTACAGGTAATGTCTAAAAAGAATTGATTTAAACTATTATTAATAGTCTGCGTCGTTCAGATTCAAAAGCTTCAATGTAAAGAGAAATCCATGCTTAGATCTATCGACAATCTGTAAGAGAGTTTCATGAAAGACAACGTACTTTGGTACCATCGACATAAATTTCTGTTGAAAATGGTTGTTCAGTATAGTATATTTTTATTGGCTTGAAACCATTTTCTCTGAAATAACTTTCGTCTCTCTCAATCACATTGAATTCTGCATCAGTGATGTTCAATCCAATTGCTCTTGAAAAAAGAATAAACACGGAGAGATAAAAAATAAAAGAAATCGTGTTCCCTACCTACCGATTTAGTGACATATTTTTCTTGAACAGGTTATTCTTAATATAAATCAAGGAGGCAGAAAATTAACAAACGAAGAGCTTATTATGAGAAAAATTATCTTTATTTAAAGCGCAAAAATCCTGCGTGTTTCACATAAAAAGTCCATGGAATTTCTGTAACCAAATCCCGCATAACTCCAGGTATTTCTTATACTTAGTTATGTTTGTACTTGTTGTTCGTGCAGTCACTAGCACTGGTGTCATAGTGGCTGCCTTGGACGCTTTAGTCCACTGATTTATCTACGTTTTATTTACTCGGTGGGCAAACAAATATTCCTAGAAGACCACTGTCTGAGATACTATTTGTTGCCAAATCAATTGTTAATTTCCAACGTAGAAAACTGAAGGATGGGGTCAGTGTTTTTAATAGGAATTTTAAGCAAAGTGGGTTTTCACAGTTTACCACTGCATTTTTCATGTTTTCCCTGGTAAAAACAAAGTGGAAATCGAATTTTCAAAGCGGAAACTCATTTTGTTCAAGTGAGACCCACTAATCATTAAAAACACTGGATGAGGCGTCGCGCATCCGCTACATAAATCATCCCTCACTAAGAAAAAATTCAAGTTCTTTTGGAAAAACTGTGGTTCACTTATAGTTCTAGTTCATGCGAAACGAAACGGATAATACATTGCCGAGTCGGGAATCACGACACCAAGACTTAAATGCGTGATTGTTTTCTGTGGGGTCCGCGCATGAATGATTCAAATTTTCTGATTTATGTGGCAACAGATTCCAGCGTATTTTCATGCGATATCCCCCGAAATCTGAAAGAAGTTCATACAGATAAGAGATATCGTGAGAATTTAGTAGGAACTCCGCGGCATTTTGCCTCACATAGTCTAATAAGGGTATTATTCCCTTGACTTTAGCATAGGGTCTTACAGAATGGTTGTCTGTCTCTCTGTGCGCAGGGTTTCTAATGAGAATTTTGAGCAGCGCGTACATAAGCGTGGTAATTCGTGGATTTTATTGTTCTGTCTTTTCCTATTGGTTGATACAAAGCATATTTTCAATTTAGTTCGCGTACCGTACACTTTGGAACAAAGGCGTACCCGTAATGTTAGAAACACTGTCTGTGTGCAAAATAAGGAAAATGACTTTCGGATATTTTATGGATAAGCGAATCGCAAGAGAGGAAAGTGAAAAATTATTTTTTACGCAAGAGAGAATATATTCAAAGAGATGACTGAAAAAATAATTATTGATGCAGAGAGAAAAAAAAACTAAGCAAATGTTTCTGTGGTAGGGAGATAGACGTCGCCAGAAATCGATCCATTTTGGTAACAAAAAAAAAAGTCATCTACGGATAGTAAAACTTACAGAATATAGGTAGTCTATCATGATGAATCGATCAGAAATACTTGGAGCCTCCCTTCGGATCTTCAGTGGATATCAAAATTTTTTAGCTTTATATTAGGGTACATCCATTCAGGGGCCTGGGGCCTGTTTCTTAAAAAAACTTAAGTAGAAAATCTTACTTAAGTCAAACTTAAGTCAAAAAAAGTCTTTGTCTTTTTTGACTTAAGTAAGATTTTCTACTTAAGTTTTTTTAAGAAACAGGTCCCAGGTTCACTCAGTTTATACAGATATAGTAGCCGCAAAAATTTGAGCACTCCTGCCGTATAAACCATAAAAAGTTACATAGAATCCCATATTTGTTCGCAAAGAAAGATATATTCTACATGCCTGTTTAGGGATGTTACCAGTTGACCTCCCCTTAGTATTTCACCTCTGCTGAAGTCAAAACAAAACAAAAAGTTCTTGCACTATAGATAAAAATGAAGCTAAAGAGCTGCTTAATCCAATGAAAAAAGAAGAAGGTCGATATCTATCTTTCTCTTTGAGTACGAAGCCCGTCTTCGAAGACACTTTTTTAAAAATAGCCAACTTTGAGGCCTCTCCACGCAAAAAGCATTCAGTCAAGTTTTTTTGTTTTTCTTTCATTTGTAGTGCTCTTCGAGTTCTACACAATAGCATCAGAGATATTTTTAGCTCGCTTCGTTTTCACTCTCCTTTCTCGATCAGCAAAGTCAAAAATATCGATTACTGTTATCAGTATTTAACTGACTTTATGACCATGCTCTATATGTATTCAACGTTTTTTTTTTCTGATAACAACGATTTTCAAGATCTCGCTTATATCTCATTTTGAAGAAAATATTTTTTTCTATCTACTAATGAAAAAATGGCAATAATTTGTTACTTTAAATTCGATTTATGCTAAAGTTTTTCATAGATCCGTTCAAAAACCCATTTTTGAAAGGCTATCTGAAAAATGTTCTGCTTGTAAAAAGCTGCTGCATAAGCTCCTGTTTTGATTGATGAAAGTCGCGTCCCTCTAGAACTTTTCTTTTTCGAGTTATTCAAAAAACGTCCATATATCATTCTTTTTTTGAATGAACAGTCGTTTTCGTTATGTGTGAAGTTCCCGTGTTAATCAGTGCGCAATTTTCTCTGGTTCCACTAATAGAAATGTGCCTTAGATCGTAATCTCTGTTGACTGCAAACATTCACGTAACTGAGTCTATCTTTACACAGAATTGACTTTGTGTTTTAAGATAGTTTACGTATGAAATTTCTAATGGTAATTAACTTCCTTGTACTCCAGAAGAATCAAGCTTTGATCAATCCTGCTTTGCTTGTGTTATTGTTCTTGAAATTAATACGGAACTCTTCTTTTGTTGTTTTAGGACGCATCAGAAAAAGATATCGGTAGGGCATACAAGAGTAAACTTAGTGAATTATTATTCTAAATGATATTTTTTTTCTGTCAATTTTAGTACATTCTGGTCTAGAACATACAATGGAAAAAGCAGCACGTGCCATTATGCAAACAGCCATGAGATTTGATCTTGGACTTGATATTCGTACGACAGCTTATGTTAACGTAATTGAAAAAATCTACAAAGTATACGAATCAGCTGGTATCACATTTGGTAGTTAAATAAGTGAACTGAAATAGTGATAATATGAGATATGTGTTATTTCATGCGTACGAACAGGGTTTTTTTCCAACAATTGTTTGTTTTTTTTCTTTAAATTTTTAGAAAACTGTTCAATCATGTATTCTAGTTAACTCTGTGATTTAAAACGTTGGTGAAATCTCTGTTTCGAAGCTATATATATATATATATATATTTTGGCTATCACCTCCAAGATCAAAGACCACAGACGTCTGTGAATATCACACTTCTAAAAACAATTTATAAATTTTAATGAGAAACATGTTTTTGATAGCAGCTTCACTTTATTTTTTCTTTCTTACAGTTCTGGCTTTAGAATACAACACTTTTCTTTTCTTTTTTATTTTGGTATTTGAGAATCAACCTTTGTCTAGACTTTTGCTACAAAGTCTAGACTTCCTTGATTTTTGTAGTGTTCGAAATTTCTGAAAACAATTGATCATTAATCCTGTAACATAGGAAAGTAACGACTTTGAACACTTTGGTATCAGAGATCGTTAGGTCCTCCGGACCTGACCTATGACTGAGACCTGAACCGAAAAAATGGATCTATGACCTGTGACATGGAGATGAACCTGGATATGAGGTTCGAAGTGAACTTTCAAGCCTAATGTAAATAATTTAGGTTAGTTCGCGGCTTGGATACATGGTATTCCAATAACGGTTATTACTGGAATTCAGTAGACACTAGAAACTCTTATTACATGGAATCAAAACACTGCTAACACTCATTTCATTTCTATATAATATATAATCCATCAACTTTAACATGGGTACTGTTTCATCTAAGCTTTGTTACTGCACTTCATCTAGGTCTGAATTCGCCTTTTAAGTACACTAACTTTACTTATTTTACGTATCATTGTGCAAAAAACTCTAAAGTGGCAACACCTAAAGCCAAGACTTTATTGAGTTCAATTTAGTTCATTAAACGCACCGTTTTCGTTATTACAATCTTCATTTTGAGCGCTCTTCCTTCAAGATAATGGTTAGTACCAAACAGCCCATTTAGAGTTATTTGTATTTGGCTTGAAAGTTCACTTCGGACCTCATATCCAGGTTATAAGTCTAGGTCTAATAGAAATGGATTCGGATCTAGATCTATCTTTAACGTGGTCGTCTTTAAGGATTAGAATGAACTGCTTAGAGATTAGTATCTCCCGAGCTTTATTACACGTTTGGACCGTCAGTTCCAGGTTCAGAATTATCGACGCTGTTTGGTATGATACAACATGAAAAGAAAATAAGGTTTAAATATTATTTAATAGCGCAGCCCATCAGTTAAGAATCATGTACAGATAGTTTCGAATTTTTCATCTTAACACTATCATTTCATGTGTACTAACGCTTCATTAACTTGAAGATGCTATTGCTAATAATGCATAAATGATAGTGTAGTTGTGATGTTTATTGTGACATATACACGCACACGAATAAATAACTCATACAGAGTTATTAATGATAAAGGAAGAAAAAAATTAATGATTTGGATAATTAGTAGGAGAATTTCCTTTAAATAAATTTTTTTCATACAGAAATGTAAATGGTATGATAAAATTATAAAGATAATGATGGTGCAATGTTACTAAAAAATTATTTACTGCTTATTTATAACTTCGACAGCTTATGTTTAAGTCGACATAAATCAGTGTATCACTTTTTTCGAAAGATGTTGCTGCACTGGAGCGAACCTGAACGGCCTCTTTGGCGGTTTTTTATTGGCCAATAGTTTACCGCCGTATTTCATGAAATCCGCAATTACCAAGATGGCGGCAGGAAGTGTTCATAAAGTGTAAAAGTATCGACGACTTAAGTCGATCTTAACTTTTACACGGTTATGAATTTATCACTTAACTTATATTGTTACAATATATTATTACAATAAATATCTGCCTCTTCTGTTTTCTATAACTCCGAAAGAGATGTTTTTAGAGATGCATGTGTTCTTGCTATATAATCTACCCTACATCACTTTTTTAAACTTTTTCTTGAAACGAAGAAACATGCTTCATAAAAACTCATATAGATGTTCTATCTCCAATGCAAACGCGACGCGATACAACCAAGGAACGCAATACAATATGATGCAGATCGTGAACATGACGCGATTTGTTCTCAATCAGCAGTCCATACATCCAAATGAAAATCAAATTTGTTGGCTTCTCCTGATATAAATACTTTAATTGACATCAAATAAATAAACAAACTTTTTCTTTATTTCCAGTGCTTTTTTAAAAAAGCGAAATATCACAACAATAAATGATCTAATTTTAGCACCGTCAAACAAATGGATATTTACATAACAAAAACAAGAG